CCTGATTCCCCACTGGGTTAACGTTGCCGAAGAATAGTATAGTATCAACACGTTGACATTCTGGAAAAGACCAATAGGCGGCAGCTGGTGCTCAATAGTGCAAATGCTACGTTTCTTTTCTTTTACGGAACTTTACCCAATCGGCAGCAAGAGACTGTACTTGAAGAAGCAAATTGCAGGGGTCTCATTGCTATGACAGTTTTATCATACAGGATCAGAATCACAACACATCAAATTACTGAGTTATGCTAATTAAATTGATTGTACGAGTCTATTTCCGACCGGTTTCAAACTATATGCACTATCATGCCAATGATTCCAGCAGCGAAGATCCGCCAAGCTCGTCAAGCTCCTGTTCAATATCCACCAGTTCCCATACTATTTAGTTTCAATAGCGATCATCGGCCCAGCAGGTCGACCAATCGATGCACCGGAAGTTTGTCCTGATGGATCGCGTCGATCACCCGGCTTGTCTCCTCCGCCGTGAACAGGCCCTCCATGTTTCGCTCAAATTTGGCACGCACCTTGGGCAAAGTATCTTCGTGCATCGGATGCCCGATCGGGTATTCGACGACTACCTCGTCTAATTGCTCCCCGTTGGTCAGAAAGACGGTGAGTCCGCTGGCCGCCGCCTTTTTGTGGTGGTAGCCGTAGGTGAACTGCGGGTCTTCGGCCATATGGATCCGCTGGCGAAGGGCCTCAACACGCGGGTCATGGGCCCACACGCTCGAATCGTGGTAGTCGTCTGCTTCGATGATCGCGTTCTTCAACAGCACCACCGACACCATGTACCGCATGCAGTGATCGCGGTCGGCCGCATTGGTGAGCGGGCCTTGCTTGTCGATGATGCGGACAGCCGCTTCATGCGTACGGATATCTATGCGACTGATTTCAGTAGCGGGATCGATCCCCCTGCTGGCCATGGTCTCGGCCAGCGACATGGCTGCCTGAACTGCGGAGATGCCGTGGCCCTCTGCAGTGATGAGTTTGAAGAACACTTCCTCCATCACCCGTGTCTTGAAGGGTCGTGGCAGCTGCAGCTCCTTACCCCCAAAGCTGACAGCCAGAAAACCCCATTCTGGCTCAGTTAGCGCGCTAGGGATGCCTGGCTGGCCGGCGCGAGCTAGTAGGCACAAGTGTACAGCACGCATGGCGGCGTCTCCAGCGGCCCAGCCCTTGCGTGGCCCCGCATTGGGACTTTGACGGAAGATGCGCAGAGGGTGGCCATCAGCCCACGCATGGGAGAGAGCGACGGCGGCTTGTTTCTCCGTCAGACCCATCAGCCAAGCGACAACAGCTGTGGAGGCGATCTTCACAAGTAGCGTATGATCCAGCCCCACCTTGTTGAAGGCATTGCGGACCTGGTAGCAGCCTTGAATCTCGTAGGCTTTGATCATCGCGATCAGAACCGTCCGGACGGTCAGTGGCTGGCTGGTGGCGCCTGTACGGCTGAGCCAATCTGTGACCGCCAGGATGGCGCCCAGGTTATCTGTTCGTCGATCGGTTAGCCCTATATCCAACCAAGCTTCTGGGAGCGCAGATCCCGCAGACGGGCCTTACCAGATGGGTGGCCCCATTCGGCACCAGGGTATGCATCATTGTGATCCAGAAAGCGAATCAAGGTTGCCATGTCAAAGGCACCCTTGACTGGATCGAGCTGGTGGCAGGTGCCCGGCAGCTTGAACCCATAAGGAGCGACCAGACCTGGTGTGTATGGGCCGATCAGAGCGCGACACTCGGGGCTTTGTTGAAGAGTCTCCAGAGCGCAACCAAGAGCATCCATGAGAGCATAGCGGGCCCGCAGGATAGCGAGGTCGCTTGTTACTTCGTAGTGGTAGACATACTCGACTAGGCGAGTTATCATTTCGTCATACTGTCGATCGGAAGTGGAAGACATGGTTTTCGGAGTGTGCACGGAAAGACTTTGGAGTAGATAGGATTCGGAAGAAATGTTTGGATTGGCTCAGAAAGCGACGAGAGTGATGGCGAACGAAACAGACCGCAAAGGGAACCGCCCTTTTATGCTCCGTCGGGCAGACCGTGTCAGCCAGATGCCTTTAGATCGCCGGTGATAGTCTCTGCGGGCTGTCACTAGTCGATGGACCAAAGCTTGACAGACTATCTCGGCGTATCCATTCGTCCTTTTGAACTATTCCGTCCGAGACTGGATGGTCTCGGACAGATGGCTGCTGCCACGCCAGACGAGGTACAAATATGTGCTTCAAAGCCAGACAAATCCCAACAGAATCAGGACAGCAGCAGCGACAATCCTTCGCAGACTCATCGCATCCCCTTCTACATCATGGCATACACACTGGCATCTTGGCTGGGCCGCCTCTTCGATGCAGGCAAGAGCCTGCTGCCCTTGCAAGGCAACTACATCAATGCCCTACTAGAGCAGGAGCTGCCTGGTGAGCGTGAAGGCACATTGACAGTGCGGGATAACCGGACGGGATCGAAGTATACGATTCCCATCGTGCGCAACTCAGTACCGGCCATGGGATTCCGTCAGATCTGCGTCGACCGTGCAGGAAAGAGCCCGCGACAGCAATTCGAGGATGGACTCCGGTTGATTGATCCGGGGTACCGCAACACAGCCGTCAAGATGTCCAGCATCACCTACATGTATGCTTACCTTTTGTCCCCTGGTCATCTTTGTCTTACTAACTGAGGTAGCAATGGCAACGAGGGCGTCATTCTGTACCGGGGCCACCCCCTGGCATCGCTCATCGGAAAGAGCTACGAGGAGATTACCCACCTTCTCATCTGGGGCTCGCTACCCACACCCGAGGAGCGTCTGCGCTTCCAGCGGCGAATTGCCGAGGCGATGATGGTGGTGCCCGAGAACGTAAAGCAGCTTGTGGCCACTTTCCCGTAAGTCCGCCCCTTATCTTCGCTATGCATGCTGCTAACCTTGAAGCAGACGCAACACTCCTCCTATGGTCATTCTCTGCGCGGTCTTGACGGGCTATCTGGCAGATCAACCCGAGCTCATCCCCGCCCATGCAGGTGCCAACCTGTACAACCGACGCCCAGAAATGGTCGATGAGCAGATCATCCGCACGCTAGCTGTCACGGCGATAGCCGGGTCGATAGCTCACTGCCACATGAAGGGAGAGGAGCTCCGCGCAGCCGACCCGAACCTGAGCTACATCGAGAACATCCTTTGGATGGGCCGGTATGTGGATAACAACGCGGCAATCACACGGGAGAAGGCAGCGGAGATCTTGACGAAGGCGTGGTCGCTGTATGCGGATCATGAGATGACCAACTCGACATCGGCTTTCCTTCACGTCTCGTCTTCCCTGGCCGACCCACTTTCGGCGATGGCTGCATGCTGCATGTCTGGCTACGGACTATTGCACGGAGGTGCCATCGACGCGGCATACCGAGGAATGCGGGAGATTGGTGGACCGGAGAATGTGCCAAAGTTGATCGAGAAGGTGATCAACAAGGAGTGCCGGTTATCCGGATACGGCCATCGGATCTACAAGCAGGTGGACCCTAGGGCGAAGTACGTGCGCGAGATGCTGGACGAACTGACACGGGATCGCGACATCCGGGAGATGGACCCTGTGCTCCAGGTGGCCATGGAGATCGATCGGATTGCGAGCACACACGAGTACTTTGTCAAGCGCAACCTGCAGGCAAATGCGGACTTGTACGGAAGTTTCGTGTACACGGCACTGTAAGTATTCCCCATATATTCGAAGAGGATGTCTACTAATCCATGCAGGGGTATTGACTCGCAATTTGCGACGGTGCTGGCAGCTACTGCACGGGTGTCGGGTGTGATGGCACACTGGAAGGAGCAGACTGGTAAGTTTTCGTCACTTCCCTTCTTGCGAAGAAGAGAAACTAACGAATGTAGAACGCGCACCGGATTTGTGGCGGCCACTGCAGGTGTACGTGCCGAACTAGAAATAGGGGTTTAAGGATGGAATTGTACAGAATGGGTCATCATAGGAGTCTATTGTTTTCGGGCCTGGGTCTTGGTTACTCCATAGTTTGCGCTATATTCTTTAGTTAATATATTTCAACAATAGTTCTTGATTGTCATCTACAATGTTTCTTGTGTCATACAGTGAAGCGTACTCGTTGTAAAAATAGGGTACCTGCAATAATTATCACAATGACAATTGACTTGTGGTATTTAGAGGCTGTAAATAGAATCCTAGAAATTCGCTTGATGATAGATGGTAACAGCTTATTGTATAAGATCCAAGAACATATTAGAAACATAACCTAGTATGACCGTAGTAGTCAATCAGGAGTACTAGCCTATAACTACTAATGCTCTCCAACAGTCATCCTAAAAAGTAAAAACTTATTATGAAGAATAATTGCTAGTATATATTTTTAGTAGTAACTTCAAGTGGTCATATAACAGTAGCATAGGTGTACTGAACGTGGGGCGGCTCAAGAAAATAGTTACTCCAATTCTTATCATCTATCCAGAGTTCAGCTAGAATTCGGGGCTGAGGCCGGAGATACCGATCGATTTGGTCCAATGTCCAATTTATCTAGTTTTTGCATTCTCTGTCAACTCTTGCTAGAGAGACTAATCCATTAGACCGGAGCCAACCATCCAATCCCGTGGCTGCACACGTCCAGCGGAGGTTAGTTCCGAGACCACTTTTTCAACCTATGCATGCTTTTCTCAGTCCAATCTGTGGATCGCGTGCACCTCAAAGGTCACCATGGAGTGTCCTCAGTGGCCAATACTTTTAAAACAAGTGCCATGCTTGCAACCCATACACTATCATTGTAGGCGCCACACTACTTCACGACGGTGTTGGATTATCACCGTCGTTGGAATCAAAAGGTTGATAGTTACTACAACTGTTGATGTACTAAAAGGTCCCAATCTAAGTAGCAACCTCAAGTTAGAGTCAAGCCCCTCCTTTCTTCTCGATTTCCATCACTGAACCCATCATCTCATCTTACTATCATACACCTCCTCATAAGCAGATCCAGTATTCACCCAACCAAAGCCAACCATGAAGCTTCTCTCCACCCTCGTTGCCAGTGCCCTGGCCCTTACCACCTCTGTTCAGGCTGCCAACTGCAATGCTGGCCTGAACTACTGTGCCTCTGTGCTGAAAAGCATCGGTACGTGTGCTCCCATAGTATTCTACCTTACCTAAAATCATCGAATATATTTTTCATCATTGGATTCTGACTTTCGCCATTGAATACCCTTAGACTTCAAGTACGTGCAAATGATGAATGCCGCCATTGGGCAAAAATACGGAGATTTCAATGCGGACCTTGTCCACCCGATGCTCTACCTGTGGCATTGCAATGCCGATGGATCTGTCAGTATTGTCAAGCGCTGTGATTGGGACTGCGTGGATGGAGGTGCTGGAAATAGTGATTACTGCCAATGGCAGCAGTAGATTGTTATAATGTGATGTGGTGTATATTTGTGGCAGGGGTTTTGATTAGGTCGTGTGGGTTTGAGGTTGGGGTTAGCATGTATTGCTTGTGTTATTTACATGGGGAGTGTTTTGAAGATTTAGCGTGTTAGGGGAGACATAAGATTTGCTAGGGAGTAGAAGATTTTGGATGTATCTGTGAAAAAGGTATATAACTCTGCGTTATATGCCCATGTTTGCCAGTGGCAGATGAATGAGGGTGGTAGTTGCCTATACTGAGAGTTCTACAGTCTTCCACAATCTCTGTATCAACAACCGCCATAACTCATCACATTTCTTATGTGTCCGACTCCACAAATTCCAAAGAAATACATCTGCGCCCTTAATTAAATCCCCTAAACGCCTTGATAGCGGTCTGCATTGATAGTGTTATCTCGTATAATAATTAGCTTCACTAGTTGCAAATGGGCGGCAGCGATCGACACGCCGCAAACAAGCAACAAAAGACCCACAATTACGAGTCGATCCTACAGAAGAAATATTGAACTTGGCATATCAAGTAGACTATTGACGTGTTTTAATTTGATCAATATCCTATCACGGCCTAATGCAATGATAGTTTATATGGTGGGTCATCGACCAGTCGATCCGGGCATTTCTACGCCGTGTCTCAACTCCGCACCGAAATACTCCTAGTAGATTATAGTCCAAAAGATAGTTAGATCCAGAAATGAATCGAATCGAGAAAATGAAGACGATCGGGTTCGCCAAGAATCACCTTATGTTCTTACATTCTTTCTTTTTTCTTTGTTGTTGGGTAATCATTCATATCCCAATAGGGCTATAACTGACAAACTTCCACTTTTCCCTCGCCAAGCCATTTTTCTCACTTGCTATCATACTCCTCTCTTCTATCCCCATCATTTACCTGTCCTTCAGTCGCATAATACATAATAAAGTTCTACCACAATGACCTCTCACACACCTCCCCCCGCCACTTCCACCGGCACTCCCGTAACTCACACCCTCTCCAACTGGCTGGAAGAACTCACTCCGGAGTCCATTCCCGCCGAAGTCCGTGAACGAGCCAAATACCTCATTCTAGATGGATTGGCCTGTGCTCTGCTGGGGGCACGACTGCCCTGGTCCGTCAAGGCCCATGATGCCATCACTGCCATTGAGGGAGAGGGCAAATGTACCGTGATCGGATGGAATGAGGTATTTCTTTCTCCTCTAATCAGACTCCTTCACGAATATAGACGTATAGGATAGGATACTAATGAAGTGATAGACCCTTCCTCCCAATGCCGCCGCCCTCCTGAACAGCACCTTCATTCAAGGCTTCGACCTCGACGACATCCACATCGAGGCCCCGTTGCACAACATGTCCGTCATCGTCCCAGCGATTCTCGCAGCCGCAGAACAGGAACATGGCAGCTCGACTCGCCCTATCAGCGGCAAAGACTTCCTCACTGCCACAGTTGCCGGCTGCGAAACAGGGCCCCGTGTAGGCTACGCCCTCGGTGGAACGCACATGCTTACCATTGGGTGGCACTCCGGTGCCATCTTCGGCCCTGCTGCATCTGCCGCAGCTGTCTCCAAGCTGTTGAATCTCCCCGCCGCGCAGATCGAAGATGCCCTGGGCATGGCGTGTACACAGGCTTGCGGACTCATGTCCGCGCAGTTCGAGAGCATGGTAAAGCGCATGCAGCATGGGTTTGCATCACGGAGCGGAGTGCTTGCCACATACCTGGCAAAGCAGGGATTCACAGGAATCAAGGAGATCTTTGACCGCGAGTATGGTGGATTCTTGAAGATGTTCTCGCTCGGGGCGGAGACTGAGCCCAAGTTTCACCCAGAAGAGATTTGTAAGGGATTAGGGGAGGTATGGCAGATCAAGAAAATCAAGCAGAAGTTGCATGCGTTGTGCGCGGTGACGCATTGTACAGTGGATTGTGTTAAGGATCTTCAGGCCGAGCATCCTGCGAAGATGGGCGAGTGGAAGAAGATCGTCAAGATCGAAGCGGAGATGGCGAGGGCTGCGATGAAGAAGGGTGGCTGGGCACCGGAGAAGCCGGCTACCGTCACAGCGGCGCAGATGAGTATACCGTACGCGGTGGCGTTGCAGGTCGTGGATGGGGAGATTGTGCCGGGGCAGTTTGCGCCAAGCATGTTGAACCGGGAGGAGTTGTGGGATGTGATTGGATTGGTGGAGTGTCGGGAGGCTAAGGAGCTGGATAATACATGGGCGCAGAGGGTCAAGATCACGTTTGAGGATGGGGAGGTGCTGGAGAAGTTGTTGAAGGCGCCCAAGGGAGTCCACCCCGGGGTGACCAATGAGGAGGTGCTGGAGAAGTGGCGGGCTGTGACGAAGGGGGTGATTCCGGAGGAGAGGCAGAAGAAGATCGAGGAGGTGGTGTTGAATTTAGAAGAGGTGGAGGATGTCGCGGGTGTTTTGGGCGAGTTGTTGAGGGGAGAGACGGTGAATGTGCTGCAATAGAAGATTACCCCTTTCGGACGGGGATGGCTTCATATTTCCCAAGCGATGTCACGCCATACCAAAGACTCATTTACCCGGTGCCTGAGCAGATCTCTAGTTGTTAAACAATGCCAATGTTCGTATTGTTTTAATTGCTAAATGCAAGCATTCCAAGTTCTTCCCAATGCCGGCTAAATCATTCAGGCTAAACCCCGCGATGAAGTCAATCGGCCATTCTCCGGCGCATCTCCGCATCTCCGCATAACTCTATAAATCTACCCCAGATTCAGTCCCCGACCATCTTTTTCTCCCCCCACAGACCGGCTCAACCATGGCACACTCAATGTCTCGTCCCGTGGCTGCCACTGCCGCTGCTCTGTTGGCTCTGGCTCTTCCCCAAGCTCTTGCCCAGGCCAACACCAGCTATGTTGATTACAACGTCGAAGCCAACCCCGACTTGTACCCTTTGTGCGTGGAAACCATCCCACTGAGCTTCCCCGACTGCCAGAATGGCCCCCTGCGCAGCCACCTCATCTGCGACGAATCAGCCAATTCCTATGATCGAGCAGCATCGCTCATCTCGCTCTTCACGCTGGATGAGCTGATCGCGAACACTGGCAACACCGGCCTCGGGGTCTCCCGACTGGGCCTCCCTGCATACCAAGTATGGAGTGAAGCACTCCACGGCCTCGACCGTGCCAACTTCAGCGACTCGGGCTCCTACAACTGGGCCACCTCATTCCCCCAGCCTATCCTGACCACCGCAGCCCTCAACCGCACCCTCATCCACCAAATCGCCTCCATCATCTCCACCCAAGGCCGCGCCTTTAACAACGCCGGCCGCTACGGCCTCGACGTCTACGCCCCCAACATCAACACCTTCCGCCACCCCGTCTGGGGTCGCGGACAAGAAACTCCAGGAGAGGACGTCTCTCTCGCCGCCGTCTACGCCTACGAATACATCACCGGCATCCAGGGTCCCGACCCAGACTCAAACCTCAAACTCGCCGCCACGGCCAAGCACTACGCCGGCTATGACATCGAGAATTGGCACAACCACTCCCGCCTGGGCAACGACATGAACATCACCCAGCAAGACCTCTCCGAATACTACACGCCCCAGTTCCACGTCGCCGCCCGCGACGCGAAAGTCCACAGTGTCATGTGTGCCTACAACGCCGTCAACGGCGTCCCTGCCTGCGCCGACTCTTACTTCCTCCAGACCCTCCTCCGCGACACCTTCGGATTCGTCGACCACGGCTACGTCTCCAGCGACTGCGATGCCGCCTACAACATCTACAATCCCCACGGATACGCCTCCTCCCAGGCTGCCGCTGCCGCCGAGGCCATCCTCGCTGGCACCGACATCGACTGCGGTACCACCTACCAATGGCACCTGAACGAATCCATCACTGCGGGAGATCTCTCGCGCGATGATATCGAGAAGGGTGTGATCCGTCTCTACACGACCCTCGTGCAGGCCGGATACTTCGACTCCAACACCACTAAGGCGAACAACCCTTACCGTGACCTTACCTGGTCCGATGTCGTCGAGACGGACGCATGGAACATCTCCTACCAAGCCGCGACGCAGGGCATTGTCCTTCTCAAGAACTCCAACAACGTCCTTCCCCTCACCGAGAAAGCTTACCCACCATCCAACACCACCGTCGCCCTCATCGGTCCTTGGGCCAACGCCACCACCCAACTCCTGGGCAACTACTACGGCAACGCTCCCTACATGATCAGCCCCCGCGCCGCGTTCGAAGAAGCCGGATACAAAGTCAACTTCGCCGAGGGCACCGGTATCTCCTCCACAAGCACCTCGGGCTTCGCAGCCGCCTTATCCGCCGCCCAGTCCGCCGACGTGATCATCTACGCCGGTGGTATCGACAATACCCTTGAAGCGGAGGCACTGGATCGCGAGAGCATCGCATGGCCGGGCAACCAACTGGACTTGATCCAAAAGCTCGCTTCGTCGGCCGGAAGCAAGCCGCTCATCGTTCTCCAAATGGGCGGCGGACAGGTCGATTCCTCATCCCTCAAGAACAACACGAACGTCTCTGCACTCCTCTGGGGCGGATACCCCGGCCAATCCGGCGGTTTCGCTCTGAGGGACATTATCACGGGAAAGAAGAACCCCGCGGGCAGACTAGTCACGACACAATACCCAGCCAGCTACGCTGAGGAGTTCCCCGCGACGGATATGAATCTCCGTCCTGAGGGTGATAACCCCGGCCAGACATACAAGTGGTACACCGGCGAAGCAGTGTACGAGTTCGGCCACGGATTATTCTACACGACCTTCGCGGAATCATCCAGCAACACCACCACGAGGGAAATCAAACTCAATATCCAGGACATTCTTTCCCAGACACACGAAGACCTGGCATCAATTACCCAGCTCCCTGTGCTGAACTTCACTGCCAATATCAAGAACACTGGAAAGGTGGAGTCGGATTACACCGCTATGGTGTTCGCCAATACGTCTGATGCAGGCCCGGCGCCGTACCCGGTGAAGTGGCTGGTCGGGTGGGATCGGCTTGGAGATGTGAAGGTAGGCGAGACGAGGGAGTTGAGGGTTCCCGTTGAGGTGGGGAGCTTCGCGAGGGTGAATGAGGATGGCGATTGGGTGTTGTTCCCGGGGACGTTCGAGTTGGCGTTGAATTTGGAGAGGAAGGTTCGGGTCAAGGTTGTGTTGAGTGGTGAGGAAGAGGTAGTGTTGAAGTGGCCGGGGAGGGAGGAGTAGATCGCTCCAAGCGATTAAATCATCATCATGACGATGTATATAGCCCCTAACTATTTATTATCAATTGACATTAAATGTTAACTCATAGAGCTAGCCTCCGTCGTGAGCGAATAAAGTGAAGATTTCATAAACTTTATTATAGACTAGCTAGCTATAGGCTATTAACAATTAGCCGGTTCTGCAATATGGCTTGCTTACCCGCCCTGCAGGATCATCACCAACTACTCTTGGCATAAAACGTAAACAAAGGCCTCGGACCAGGATCCGTCCGACTCAAAAGGAGTAAATCCCTCGTTCGCATACTCGCCACATGAACCTGTTGCTCCGAGACCTCTTCAACCGGGTCTTCAAATGCCCAGAAGACGCTTTCTTCCTGATATCCGTCGGATACGCGCTGGCCGCTTAGACATACGAATGATGTACCCTGTCTTCCGAAGGAAACAACCGTGTTTCCGAACCCGGTGTCGAAGTCGTAGGTCTGGAATTTGAAGAGTGTGCGGGCGTTGCCTTGGAGGGTTGGGAGTGCGACTGCGGGTTTTTTTAATGGGTTAGCAGGGTAGTTCTTGACCGGATGTTTATACTTGTACATAAGTTTCAGAAAGGGGTGGGGGAAAGCTCACTGTCGCTGAAGCTGCCGTTGTCGAGAGTTCGTTCTTGGGCGATCATGGTTACTGTTCTGATGGCCAGCTGTTTCGAAGTTGGGTTAGTAGAGGATATTTGGGGTATGGTTTGTTGTGTGCTTACTAGGACTAGTTTCTTGTAGTCCTCTGGAATGGGATATGAGATTGGGGAGTTTATTTCTTCGGGGTTTTCGTTGATGGCTTGAACCTTATTTCTTGTCAGTAATGTAATGATAGCTAGAGGATTTCTGGGGATGTGCAGGCTCACTTTGGTGCGGATCACGGAGAGTATGTTGGCCCCTTCTTCGTACAGCTCGGCCTGTTGCTCTCTGCCGTTGATGAACTTTGAAACAGGGACTATCATATATGAATGGTTAGTAGATGGCACCAAGCGGTGATTCTTGTGGAAGCTATACTCTTCCTGACAAGCTCAAGGTACGCGTCGTACTGCGTAAAGTCTTCGAATAGGTACCAGCTCTGGTTCAATTAGTTTCATTTCATGAATTATCATCCAGAGTAGGTCTCACTCTCTGATTGGCAAAAGTATAGTCAAAAGGCGTGAATGCATTGTTGAAATTCGGCACGTTGGTGTATCTCCACAGAAGTGCACTGCGTCGATGTAAGTATCCTGTTGCCGAGAAAACTTAAGGAAAACTCACAATCGTCTATATCTATGCTTTCCCTCCCTCAACTCCTGGTAGAAGTTATCTGCGCCCTCCTTGATCGCAAAAAGAGGCGAGTCTTCACCGTCGTGGGGTTCTGCGTGAATAACTCCAGATCGGCCTCCGCCTCCAGAGGTATGGATCCAGACTGTGACGCGAGAGTGTCTGTTGATTGTCTCCACGGCACTTCTCACTTCGTTTGTGACAGAGCCGGTGACTCCGTACATTGAAAAAGCAACCTCTGAGCTTTTCTAAAACTGTCAGGAGGAAATAAGTTGAAGGACTCTGTGATGACTTACGCCTGCCTGATCTCTTGACTGGTGGATTTGTTGACTGCGGAAATGGAGACGCGAGCAAAGTATTGGCCACCTCGAATGAAATCTGCCACGGCAATTTAGCATCTACCCAGTGGCTAGAACATAGTACATTGTCTATCTTACCTGCAATAAAACGGTCTCCGTACAACTTATTCGGAGTATCGGTGTTTATTTGATTAAACGAGTACGAATTCCCGATTGATGCCTGCTGTCTGGATGACACCTGGACTTGATAGGTCACCGTACTGCTTTCAAAACTGTGTCGATGAAGATTAGCTGGTTTGATGCTCACCTCAAGCCAGAACAGATACACTCACCTTAGCCGATCAAGATAGCCAGCGTCGATTTGGGAGGACTGTCCCCAGCCGGAAATAGCAGCGCCAGCACTTATCTCCAAGGACTGCGCAAGTTTTCTGAAGAAGGCAGAAGGAAAAGAAGTCAGCATTACACTTTAGACTGAGACGTTGGGTGTGCAGACGTGTAATCATTTATCCTTTCACTACTATAGAAGAGGTCATAGGTGACGGACTCCGGTTGGCCCGGAGTGATGGTGACAGCATCTGCTACACCAATTTGTTGAAGGTAGGTATTGTATCTAGATGAGGGATGAATTGTTCAGTATGTTAGCAAGGACACGGTTGTATCTTTGAAGAGGATTGGCGTCGATCGTACCCCTGTCCTTGCTGCATGCCATCGAAATATGGAACAAGTTCGGCCATCTTGAAATATATGGCTGCTTTGATCAGGTAATGGGGTATGAAAGGTCTGAAGATGATTCACAAAATTGACTGGTAGTTGCATCACATTCCGACCAAATGCTGATGTCTTTATATGCTGAAGCACCAGTGTACGAGCAATCCCCGGACCTATACAGACATCACGTCACTCACAACAAACCCCGATGCAATGTTCTCGGAGATGTAACTTCGTGGTGGCGATCTGCATCATTCAGTTCTCTAAATGAGGCATTTTCTTTGGAGAAGTGGATTCCATCGAGTGACAACGACACTATCCACTCGGCGGAGCAAAATCCATGAAGCTCACAATAGCAGTGTCAGGGATACAGGTACTCAAGCTGATGTCTAGGCTCGCAATTGATGTCTGATTCGTTATCGGTGACTCCGAAAAGCCACTGGACGGGCACTGGATTCCGCTGCACGAAGCGGGGAACAATATCGATGAATCTGTAAACCATCTCAAGTGATCAAGGAAACGTTCGGGGAAGAATGGACCTGCCTGTGCTCAATTACCTCAATATAGTGTGTTGACATGGACTGTTCGGGAACTGCTCTATAGTACCCCTGCAGTGGCAAATGCATGTCATCAGAGATGCATGAGCTGAACATCGCGCAAACCCCTCCCCCTCATTTCTGAACGCTCAACTTGCCCTTTAGCTCGATGTTCTACTCCACTTTATACTGTCGGAGGGTTACATCGATGAATTTCTTGCAATTGTCTGGCTGGCTTTTTATGCTGTTCCTCCGAGGGCAAGGCACAAGGAAACTCGGCGACTGGGAATGGGAAGGCATGAGCTGCACAATCCCTGCTACTTCTGCTGTTGCGAATACGTAATGTGATGGATTAACAGAATTCAGTACCCAGAACATGGCTATGCAGACAGAAAGACGCTTACGCATACTAGGCTGGAGGATGACGATGGTGGTCGGAAACTCCAACTCCAGACCTCAGCAGCGAGTACCAGAGATGATATAAAGACCCCCTTCCGGTCGCTCAGAATAGAAATTTACGAGAAGCAACTCTTCGTCAACTCAAATCTATCACAAATCTACACAACCATCTCTACCAAAGACTTATACCACAGCCTCTACCCCCGATCTAAACATGGCCGAACGAGCAGAAGCCCAATGGGTGCACATCCGCGTCGTCAACTCCTTATCCTTCGACACCCTCAGTGTCAGAAACACCTGGCTGGGCTGGTAAGTTCATAGCAAGAAGCTACCCTCTCCTCATCCCTAACACGTTATCAGGGGCAAATTCCACAAAGAAAACAACAAGAGCGCCGAAATCCCCGTCTCCGACATCAACGCTCTCCGGGCAGCTCCTGGCGGGTCCTTCAACGTCTTCGCGTGCGGCAGAGCACATTCGCCCTCTGGCACAGAGGGAAGCTTCGACGTGTTCAATGGAGATGTCCGCGTCGCTTACATCTACTGGGACTGTCCTTGGGGCTCGAAGCGCAACCAGTTCCGCGTTGACAGGATCGCTGATGATTACTGGGTGGAGACGGGTTATTGGAATCAGTCGGGCGGTGCTATTGGTAGTGTTACGGTGGAAATTGGCAGAAGAGATCGGGCAATTCGGTCGAGTCTTTAGATAGGGTGGATTCTGTGCTTCTTGTCCTGCTATTGCAGGAGTGGCTGGATTGTTGATTATGTGCGTGTTGTAGGTGATAGACGGGTGATAAGAAGAACTGTTGTGATTGAGTCGTGATTAGCTCCTTGCGATTCAATACAAGAGAAGACTAAATCACGATTCTCATACCTATGCAACTGATGGCTTATGGTGGACAGCACGAGTAAAGAGGTAAAAAATCAGAAAATTAGTAGGATCGACAGCATCTCCCCCTCGTCGGGATTTGCTCTGCATTAGCGCAGAGACTGAAGTTTGGGGTGGAGTGGTGATATGATAGATTATCAATTGACAGGTACTCTAGATAGTGTGTTAGACATGTACAAGATATATAACGTGGTATTGCCTCATCTGTCCGTAGCATTGTCTTGTTTGCTTGAATTTGACACTGAGGTCTTTCGGATATGTTCAGTGGTAAGTCCCTAGCAATGCAATCGGAATAGAGGCATCGACTCCTCGACCACCACCACAACAAACTCAACTCAACTCACATTACAGCAGTTATAGCAATTAAAGTGCACACCCTCACCCTATTTCTCGGAGCGAAAAATAATTTGAAAAACAAAAACGACGACAGTCGGATTTGAACCGACGCCTCCGAAGAGAATAGATTTCTAGTCTATCGCCTTAGACCGCTCGGCCATATCGTCTTATGATGGAACGTTCGCAAAAATGCTATAAGAGGTCGTCACTCAATGCATCCAACATTTCATTCGGTTTATATCATAAATCATTGATGCCATATCCATACTAATCATATACATCTATGCACTATTTACTCTCCATCATCTCGATCAGTTCCTCGTACTCGCCCGTATTCCGCACCATTTCCCAAAATACGCCCTTTTTCGCGACCAGTCGCGCCGGTGAATCATTCCTATTAGCTTTCAGTTAGTTTCGTTCCTAATTCATACTGGTGATAAAGGGGTTGGCAGTGACGCACTCGATAATTTCCCCATCTGCCATCACCAACACTCGATCATAGTCCATGATCGTCCGCAATCGATGCGCAATCGCTATGATCGTGCAATCGGCAAACATCGTCCGCAATACCTTTTGCATATGTGAATCTGTCTCGTGATCCACCGACGCCGTCGCCTCATCCAGCAACACCACTTTCGATCGCCGACACATTGCCCGCGCCAGGCTCAGGACCTGTCGCTGACCCTGACTGAAGTTCTCTCCGTTCGCAGCAACCGGCGTGTCCAGCGCCAGCGGCCGCATTGTCCGGCTCTCGCCCTCGCCCTCGCCAGGGACATGGACTGTCGTGCACGCCGATAGCGCCGCGCGCAGCTCGGTCTCGCTGGACTCGCCAAACGGGTCGAGATTGGACTGCACGTCGCCGGAGAAGAGCACCGGCTCTTGTGGAATCAGCGTCACGTTGGTGCGCAGCCGGTTCAGGCGGATCTGGTCAATGTTGACTCCATCAATGGTTACGCTGCCGTCGACGATATCGACGAAGCGGAGCAGGGATAGCCCCAGTGTTGATTTGCCGCTGCCGGTCCGGCCGACGATCCCGACGCGCTCGCCTGGGTACGCGACGAAGGATACTTTGCGGAGTACGTCGGGCCCGTCGGGTTGGTAGCGGGCAGTGACGTTTTTGAATTCGACCCGGCCGGAGGTTGGCCAGCTGGCGGGTAGAGCGTCGGCTTTGCGTTGCTCTTCTGTTTCTAGCTTCTCCTCTGGCTCGATGTCGCCGTATTCTGTCATGCGTTGAAAGGAGTTCAACTCCACTTCGAGCTCGTTGAGCGTCCGGACTAGCGTCAGAATCGTCTGGCTGAGGCCGATGGCGTTCGTCAGAGAGAATCCCACCAGACCTGCTGATCCGGACCAGAAGTATGCTACACAGCCGGCTGCGGCTGCTACAGACGCGGCGCAGAAGTCTGTCCGGACCGAAACCCAGCGGTTGCAATTGTATTGTGCCTCGGAGGAGCGGGCGTGTACTGCCAACTTCTCGGCCAGCAGGTTCTGGAACACCTGGTCCATGCCGTGCCGAGCTCGGATCACGCTCAGTCCTGACAACGAATCGGTAAAGTGTGAGAAAACAGGGGAGTAGTTGATAGAGGTCAGCCGCTTGATCGATACTTGAGCGCGTGTGTACATCTCTCCGATGACGAACCCTGCAGCGCATATAACGGCCGCTGGGAGAGCAAAAATGGGCATGATGGAAGCGACACTGGCAATTCGAAGCAGAAATCGTAGAGTATTCTCGATGGACATCCGCAGCCACTCAACAAGAACTGTGTCCAGAGACCGTGTGTCGTTTCCGAACCGGTTGATGGCGCGCCCGATTGGATTCTGATCGAACCAGGCAATTGGTGCAGACAGCACGGCCGTCACCAGCCGGTGGTGCGTCTTCTTAGCAGCCACCCAGCTGCCGTACTGATAAATGAGATTGTTACATAATTGCAAGGTCAAGAAGGTGATGATGCACGCTGCGTATATACCCAGGTAGAACAACGTGTTGGGATGCTCGTACTTGTCGTACGCCCCAGTCCATATGGATAGCCAGTATGTAATGGCAAAGTAGGCGAATTGCACGGAAATGGTTGCAATCACAACCAGTGGAACGTAGGAAGCGCCACCAAATAGCATCATATAACGAAGCGCTGATCTGTTAGCAATGCTCAAAGCCATCTGAAGTCCTCGGGTTCTTACCTAGCGTGCGAGGCACTCTTCCCGTGGCGGACGTCTCCTTAGCTATGCGTTCCTCAGCAGGCGGTTGCTTCCCAGCAGGAGCAACTGGCGGAGGCTCTGATGGGGATTCCAGAGCTTCGTCTGCCACGCGCACATTGCTCTCCGACACCGAAGAGTCTGTATCAGTGCCCGGTGTGGTGCATCGGGAGGACATGAGAGAAAGTGTAGTTTTGGAGATAGCTCGAGCGGGGACAATCCTGCCATGCTCCAACCGGATCACCAAGTCGGCATCCTGCAAGGCGGCTGGGTAGTGGGTGATCAAGACGACCGTGCGGTCCTTGAGTAGACCGCTGCGGAAACACTTCTCATAGACAAGACTAGTGGTATGGGTGTCGAGTGCGGAGAAGATGTCATCAAATAGCAGCGTGTTCGATGGCGAATACAGTGCCCTTGCCAAAGATACTCGCTGCTTCTGACCGCCGGAAAGCGAGGTTCCTCGCTCTCCTACCATGGTGAGGTCGCCTGCCGGAAGCTGTTGCAGGTCTTGGGTCAAACCACTAGCTTCGATGGCCATGGCATAGCGGGCTTCATCGAACGGGCTATAGAAGACGATGTTCTGACGAATTGTATCGTTCTGAAGCCATGGTGCCTGTGGAACGTACGCTACATCGCGCGGGCAAGTAGCAGTTCCTGATTCCAACACTGTCTCACCCAGGAATGACAAGAGCAGCGATGTCTTTCCGCAGCCAGTGGGGCCCGTCACCACATTGAGAGCGTTGGGCTTGAAGCGGAGAGTGATATCCTGCAGCCTAAAGGCAGCAATGGGGGTGCGTCGAAAGGTGGCATTCTTGAACTCTAAAGGGCCGTCTGGATGCCGCTTGATCTCACTAGCCGTGTCAAAGAAGCGGTCGACACGACGCAGCGACTCTGATCCTTGCGCGGTATAGCGGCTGATGTTGGACAACCAGATAAACTGAACGCGCAACGTTTCCATGATAGACAATGAAGTAAAGGCGACAGGTGCCCGCAAAGGAAGATCAGTAAACAAAATATAAACAGAAAACATGACTAGAAGACTAAGGAGCGGCAGCAGCTCGCCGCCCATGGAAATAAGAGCCACAAATACGCTGCGTCTCCACAAATGGCGCTGCTCTACACGGCGAACATCGTTGATGTTGTTCATCGCAGCATGCTCCCACCCAAAGTACTTCAACGTGCGGATGGATCCCAAATACTCAGATATCTTGGACAGCCGAGCATCCGTAGCCTGCATAACGGTGCGTTGGATGCGGGAGACTTTCCGCGACGCCAGGGCAGGCAGCGGAGACAAACACAGCAGCATGAGAACACCAAACAGCGACGGCCATCCTAGCATCTGATACAGGAACACTAGAGCCAAAGTAGTCGAGATCGGGCCTGCGGTGGCTATATAGAAGATATCACGGGAGTTGTAGATAGCGTCAACATCGTAAGACATCAAGCTGGTCAGATTGGCCTGGCTTGACTTGGAGGCACCCTTGGACTCAGCCCGGTGCTTCGACTTGGCATGCTTGCCTGAAGAGTGGCCCACAGAGTCATCGTAGATGTACGAGCGCATCGCAGTCTGATAGAGCTCCTGGACTAGTGACACATTCACACGAACCAGTAGTCGGGTTGCCGTAAAGATATACTGTTGGTAGCAGAGCGAGCGTGTCGCCGGACCAGCAAATAGTAGTGCGATCCACAATGCAGGATGGAGCACTGCACTGCTTGGGTTCTCCAGATAGGCTAATAGCCGCAACATGGAGTATGGCGCAAGAAAGTCCACCACCGCCGTAAGGGCCGCCCAGAACATCATGGTTTTAATTTCCGTCTTCAGCATGCGACATAGCGTACGGAAGGTCTTGCCGCCTTTGAGCCGCTGCTTCTTAATCTTTTCTAACCACTTCAATGGCTCATCGTATGACGGCAGTGGAGGCAGATCATCCAAAGTCAGATCCCTCTGACAGCCTCGCAGGATCACATGGGTGATCCACTCATACGAGCAGTAGTAGGAAAAGAGAGAGCATGTCTCTTCTGGAGAAGCCTTCTCTTCAACCACTAAATCGTCCGTCTCTGCGTTCTGAACAACCGAGCGTCGTGGGCGTGGCGTAGCCGCTGCAATTGCCACAACCGCCGCCAAACAGGCCACAATAGCAACTCCAATGGAGGTTGGCCTATAGGTAGCTCCGATCACCATCATGGGTACTATATCCTGCACCACGGCCAGAATGAGAGCCGTTGTCACCATTGCATTCATATGCCAATACATATGACGTCGATAGTCATAGCTCTTGATGCAGAGCCGG